TCTGTGTATACTCCTTCTACCTACCTTAATAATGACAAAGTTCTTAGGAGTTACAAGTTATCATCTTCCCATGTAGGAATGTAAACAGTTTAACCTTACTGAATCCCTTATGGTTTCTCTTTCTTGTTTACTTCTTTGTGCTTCTTTTGAGTCTTATATTTTAAAGTCAAATTTTCTATTTTAGTTCTGGTCTTTTCATCAGGAATGCTTAAAAGTTCTCAATTTCATTAAATATCCATTTTCCCCCTGAAAAATTATACTCAGCTTTTCTGGGTAGATGATTCTTGGTTGTAACCCAAGCTCCTTTGCCCTTGGGAATATCATATTCTAAGCTCTCTAATCCTTTAATGTAGAAGCTGCTAAATCTTGTGTTATTCTGACTGTGGTTCCATGATACTTCAATTGTTTCTTTCTGGCTGCTTGCAATATTTTCTCCTTGACTTGGGAGCTCTGGAATTTGGCTATAATATTCCCAGGAGATTTCATTTTGGGATCTCTTTTAGAAGGTGATTGGTAGATTCTTTCAACTTCTCTTTTACTCCCTGGTTCTAGAATTTCAGAGCAGTTTTCTGTGATAATTTCTTGAAACATGATGTCTATGTTCTTTCTGTTGATCATGGCTTTCAGGTACTCCAGTAATTCTAAAATTATCTCACCTTTATCTATTTTCCAGGTTAGTTGTTTTTCCACTGAGACATTTTACATTTTCTTCTATTTCTTCATTCTTTTGATTTTGTTTGTTTCTTGATGTCTCATAGAGTCATTAGCTTCCACTTGCCCAATTCCAATTTTTAAGGAACTATTTTCTTTAGTGAGCTCTTGTGCCTCCTTTTCCATTTGGCCAATTCTGCTTTTTAAGTCATTCTTTTCTTTATTGGATTTTTTTCCTGCTTCTTTGACCATTTGGCTTATTTGTTTTTTAAGGTGTTATTTTCTTCAGTACTTTTTATGCCTCCTTTACCAAGCTATTGACTCTTTTTTCATGATTTTCTTGTATCATTCTAATTTCTTTTCCCAATTTTTCCTCTACCTCTCTTATTTAATTTTTAAAATCCATTTTTAACTTTTCCAGGAATTATTTTTGGGCCTAAGATCAATTCCCAGTTTCTTTGAGGCTTTAGATGTAGCAGTTTTGACTTTGTTGTCTTCTTCTGTGTTTGTGTTTTGATCTTCCTTGTCACTATAGTAACTTTCTATGGTCAGGTTCTTTTTTTGTTGTTTGCTCATTTTTTGGCTGATTTCTTAACTTTTAACTTTATGTTAAAAATTGTACTCTGCTCCTGGGGCACTGTCCTAAGCTTCAGGTTTTTTGTGTAGCTGTTTTCAGAGCTAGTTCTGGGAGTCTGTAAGTTTTTAGTTCTTCCAAGGTGGTATGATCTAGGTAGAAGTGTGTTTACTGTTCTCCTGACCTGTGCTCTGGTCTCGGAGTGACCACAAGTACTCTTTTCTGCTCTAGGATCCCTTGCTTCCCTGGGGTCCCAAGCTCTGGTGTGCTAATGCTCCTCTTTACCCAGGACTATGACCCAAATCTGAGTGTAGGCAATGCAACAGAGTCCTGCACCCAGTGCCAGAAAAGGGACCCCTGTAATCTCCTTCTGACCAGTTGTCTGACCCTTTACCATCTGTGGACTGAGAGCTGTTGCAGCCACCAATTCACCCCTCTAAGGCCTATGCTGGACTGTGCTTCAATCTCATCTCAGTGTGACAGACCTTTCCTATTGACCTAAGTTATTTTGTTCTGGAAAACTTTTTTGCCCCATCTTTTTGTGGGTTCTGCTGCTCCAGAAATCATTTCAAGGCATTATTTTAAAGTTGTTTGGAGGGGAATTTGGGAGAGCTCAGGTGAGTCTCTGCCTTTTCTCCACCATCTTGGCTCCACCCCTAATGCAGATTAAACTTAAAAAGTGCATTGTGCGTCTTGTCATTAAACATTTACTAGCACACTCTTGTCTAGATCCCATTTGCTTCCATCTTTTCCAGTAGTTGGTCATTCCCTCACCCCTCTATTCTTCAAACTTTTTTTATCTACTGGACTCCTTCTCACAGCTGAACTCTTAGAAAATGCTATCTGTACTCACTGCTTCCATGCCTCTCATCTTAACTCCCTTCTCAGCCCTTTGCAATTTGGCTTTAGACTATATCACTCAAATGAAACTGCTCTCTCCAAAGTTATCAATGGTTTCTTAACTGTAAGATCTGATGAATTTTTTTAGTTCTCATCCTTCCCAAACTATCTGCTTAGTTTAACACTGTTGATCACTTTGAAACTCTTTTTTTTTTCTGGGCTTTTGTGATACTCTCCTGGTTCTCCTCCTACCCATCTAATCAATTCTCAGTCTCTTTTGCTGATTTATCATCCAAATCATGCTACCTAACTGTGGGTTTTCACCAAGCCTCTAACTTGGGCCTCCTATGCTTTTCTCTTTACATACTCTCTTTACCTCATCTGATCCTATGTTATGTGTTTAATTATTACTTTTATTCTGATGACTCCTAGATGTATCTGCTCAGCCCTGGACTCTCCCTGGAGCTTCAATACCATTTCTCCAACTGCTTATTGGGTAGTTTAAACTGAATATCCCCAGAGATATCTCAAACTAAACACATCCAAAATAGAACTTATTATCTTTCCTCCAACACCCACCCCTCTTCTAAAGACCCGTATTTCTGTAGAAGATCCAACACTATACTTTGTTGTTGTTGTTCAGTCGTGTCTGACTCTTTGTGGCCCATTTGAGGTTTTCTTGGCAAAGATACTGTAGTAGTTTGCCAATTCCTTCTCCAGCTCATTTGACAGATGAGGAAACTGAGGCAAACAGGGTTAAGTGATTTACCTAGAGTCACACAACTAGTAAGTGTCAGGTCACATTTGATTTCAGAACAATAAGTCTTCCCGACTTCAGACCTAATACTCTATCACTGTGCCACCTAGCTGCCCTATTCTACCAGTCTCCTGTATTAATAACCTTGGCTTTATTTTTGGTTCTTTACTCTTCCTCACCCCTCATATTCATTAAGTTATCAAATCTTGTCCTTTTTTTTTTTTACCTTTATCCCGTATTTCATACCTGATTTCTCTCTACTCATACATTCTACCACCTTAGTTCAGGTCCTCCATGCCTGATGACTGTATAGTAAGTGCTTAATAAATATTTAATGACTATTGATTGATTCATTCATTCTTGAATAGTGGACTTGAGGGAAACATGTAATGACATTGCTCACTGCTAGGCCTGCCACCTATAATCACTCCCCTTTTCCTAAGGGGTATAGTTTGACTGTCTTTGGGAGAAGTTATGCCTTTCCTGGCATAGCTACACCTGAGCAGGGAGGAATGAACTCTGTACTGCCACCAGCACAATGAAGGTGGAGGACAGTCCCTGCTGGCCCCATTCTGCTCCTCTCACAGCAGCAGCAGCATCCCCATTAGGGCACCCAGGGTGTTCTCTGATTTCTATCTCCTTCTCCTCACCTCTATAAATCAGATTTATAGTGGTCTCTTCTTCCATGGCCTTGTGTCCAAAGAAAGCTTCCCTGAGGCTTCCCCTTCATGCTTGCTCCAGGCACCAAAATTGCTAATTATGTCTCTGGAAAGGGATCCCAGGACACATACATTAAAAAACACAAACACAGTTCTCTCTCTCTCTAAAAATCCTATTTAGTATCTTCATTAAATCAACAAGTATCAGGCAAACTCAGCTCAACCTAAGAGAGGCCTTGTGGTTTTGTAGAAAGAACACTAGACCTGGGTTTGGGTTCACATCCTGACAGTAACCTGGGCCAACTAATTTCCCCTCTCTTGGCCTCAGTTTCCTCATCTGTAAAACAGGCAGTTGGACTAGATCTCTAAGATACCTTCCAATTCTATTTATGTAAGGGCTTGCTATAAAAGATTACATTTTTACAGATATTTAAAGTTAACCAAGTATTTGATATTTATCTCATTTGAAACTCATGACAATTCTCTGGGGTATTGCAAATATTATTGTTCTCACTTTATAGATGAAATCACAGAAGCACAGAAAGATGCAGTCACTTGCCCACAGTTGGGTGGTATAGTGAACAGAATTTTGGGGCAGGAGGCAGGAAGACCTGTGTTCAAATCCAGCCTCAGATTCTTATTCGCTATGTGACCCTAGGGAAAATCATTTAACTTCTGCCTGCCTCAGTTTCTTCAGCTGTAAGATGAGGATAATAATAGCACCCACCTCCCAGGGTTGTTGTGAGGATCAAATGAGATCATATTTGTAAAGTGCTTAGCCTGGCACATAGTAGGTGTTTAATAAATGCCTTCCACATACATTTAGCAAGTGGTGCAGATGGGACAAAGTCTTGTTTTTCGATGACAAATCCAGAACTCCTTCTACTACAACATTATGCATCTTGTGCTGTCCTGGTCACTGAGGGAGATGGGAAGATAAATAAGACAGTACACTAAGGAAAGTGTACACAAATAATAATGCAAAGCAGGCTAGGACAAGTGCATGGAAGACATGGGAAATGCTAGCAGAGTTGGAAGAGATCACTTATAGGAGGAGAGGAATTGATCAATTGATTAATCAGTAAACATTTATTAAACGCCTACTATATGCCAGGCACTGGGCTAAGGCTGGGGATGCAAAAAGAGGCAAGTGACAGTTCCTCTTCTCAAGGAGCCTGCAATCTAATGAGACAACATGCAAGAGACAGAGACAGACAGAGACACAGAGAGAGACAGAGACAGACGGAGGGAGGGGAAGGGGGAAAGAGAGACAGAAGACACATAGGAGACAGGAAAGAGCCTTGTACAGCTCAGAGCCCCCAGAAAGGCGGTGAGAAGAGGCAAGGCTGCAGTGTCCCAGTTTCTCTCTCCTACACCTGCCACGAACCTCTGCCGCGCCCGCCCCAGCCGCCAGTCTCCCAGGCAGGCGGGGCCGCGGCTGAGAACTACATTTCCCGTGGGGCTGTGCAGTCGCGCTCGCGATATTTGGCTCAAATTTAAGGCGGGAGCGGGAGGGCTGGCGCGGGCGGTCGGAGAAAGGGCGGCCCGGGACTTCCGTCTGGCCTCCCTGGTAAGCCCGCCCCAGCCCCGGCTCGCCCCCTCTCTCCCGAGGTCCACGGGCCTCCCGCGCACGTCCCCGGGACTGGGGGAGCACCTCCCTAAGCCCCCCCCATGCCGCCACTCCACGGTCTCCCGGGGTACCCCCACTGGGCCCACCCACGGGCCTGCCCGCTGAGGAGGTAACTCCGTCACCCCAAGGAGGCGCCCCCCCCCGTCCCACCCCACGAACTCCATCCCAAGAGGGCCGTTGATCGCATCCACTGACTCCCTGAATGCCCCTACCGGGCCCGCGCCACCTGTGCCCCAGCCCGAGGGGTGATACCTCCTCCGACTGTCACCCACCCAGAAAAGGCCCCTCCCACGGCCTCCCCGCCCCCTTCCCCATCCAGCCCTGGGGAGGGGGTGCCTGCTCCTCCTCCGCCCTCCACTCCCGGGTGCCTCCCACGTTCACATTCCACTGGCCCCATCCCACTGCCTCCTCCTTAGGGCCCTCACCTGGGGTGGGGAACCCCTCCCAGGCCCTTTTACACCATTCCGCCCCAGGGGCTACTTGGTGGTACTAGCCCCTCCCCCTCCTCCTAGTTCCCGCCCCCCCCCCTTCCTTCCTTGAGCCCCTCCACCCAGCCACCATTTCTTCATTCTGTCCTTAGGGCTCATCCTGGTACTTAGGAACTCCACTTCTCATTTATTTTCCTTTGAGGCTCCATGTCCACAAGATTCTCTGTTCTTTGTCCTCACGTCCCACTCCCAATGCAGGAGGTTGTGTGAGGACACCCGCCCCTCCAATTTGATCCTTTCCAGGTGATCCCATCCAGGTGAACAAAATGGCGTTCCTCTCTGAGAATGAAGGGACCACTAGGACCTTGCTTCATCATGTGCTGGAGACGCAGCCTTTAAGCTCCCCAGTCTTATCTAATACTAGGCAAAGGTTGGTCTGTCATCCCTTCTGCACTGTCACTTAGTCCAGGGTCAGGCACCGTCCGTTAACCAAAGGACTCTCTCTCCACCACTTGTGGATCCTGTGGCTTTGGGACTGCCTATGGTCGGTCAGAAAGCACACTTGGTCCTACTGGACATTGTGAGGGATACATTTCAAAACAAAACAAAAATGGAAATCTCTCTGTATAATGACAGTGGGGGACTGGGTACAATTAGCTATGCTTGAGTGCAGTTTATAATTCACTGGGGGTTACTTGTGAAATTTAGGACAGAATGGCCTAATGGCTGTTGTTGTTGAGTCCCGTCCAACTCTTGGTGATCCCATTTGGGTTTCCCTTGGCAAAGATACTGGAGTGGTTTGCTATTTCTTTATCCAGTTTGTTTTACAGATGAGGAAACTGAGGCAAACAGGGTTAAGTGACTTTGCCCCGGGTCACACAGCTAGTAAGTGTCTCAGGCTAGATTTGAACTCAAGAGGAGTCTTCCTGACTTTCAGGCCCAGTACTCTGTGCACTATGGCACCACCTAGCTGTCCCATGGGCTAATGGAAAGAATGTCAAATTTGTACGCAGGAGAGAGCTATGTTGAAATGCTGCTTCTGAGGGCGGCTCTAGTGATTACATAAATTGACTACCCCACTTTCTTCTTCTATAATGTGGGCCTTTTACCTCCTTCTATGAGGCTGTTGAAAGGATCCATGAGACAATGTACTGAAAACTCTTCAAAATTTTTAAGTGCTAGATAAAATGGGTCGTCTAGCCTTCTGGCCTTCCTTTTATCTTATTTTCAAGGGTATCTATCACAATTTGCCTGTCACATCCATAGGAAAAAGGTTTTAGATTAGAGGGGACTTTAGGAATTTCTTAGACCAACCTTATTTTGTGGAGGAAAAAAATTGAAGAACAGAGGCTTGAAATGATTTGTTGAAAGCCCCAAGGCAGTATTCTAAAGCTTTCTCCGAGTTTGCTCTGCAAAGTTTAAAAAAATATATATGTTAAGGACCTGAACTTTAGCTTGAAAGATAAAGCATTTATTAAATACCTACTATGTGCTAGGCAGGCAAGACAATACCCTCAAGCACCTTACATTCTAATTGGATAAGACATATAAAGGAGAGCTAGAAGGAGGGGAGGACTACGTGTCCTGTTTCCTAGGTGTCCCGAAGGTGAGCCTCATTCCTCCTGAGATAAAGTGAAAGGTCACCTAGGAGAGCCCAGGACAGTTCCAGGGGTGGAGATATTTTCAACAGTGTTTCTGACGTTATTCCTTTGGACATATGTAGAATTGGCCTAATTAGAACAAGACACCTCTAGTAACAGCCCTATTTCTGGGTCTTCTTAAATTACCTGTATTCTTTTTTAGCAAGAGAAGTCTTTCCACATCCATGGGCCGTCCACGCCGAACCCTACGTGACCCTCCATCTCGAACACTTCTGAGTAAGCAAACAAAGGTAAACATTGGAGATTCCCTTATCACCTATTTGAGAGACCTGGAATGACTAGGGTAGGGGAGAGGTGTACTATGAAACCTGGAGGTCCTCTGGTCTGGAAATGGAGGATACAATTCCACCTTTCCTTTGTTGTTGTTGTTGTTTCAGTCGTGTTTGACTCTAGGTGACCCCATTTGGGGTTTTCTTGGCAAAAATACTGGAATGGTTTGCCATTTCCTTCTCCAGCCCATTTTACAGATGAGGAAACTGAGGCAAACAGGTGACGTGACCTGCCCACGGTCACCCAGCTGACAAGTGTCTGAGGCCAGTTTGAACTTAGATTTTCCTGTCTCCAGGCCTGGTCCTCTATCCACTGGGCAGCCACTTAGCGGCCTGAAGATGATGAGGACTTAGCCTGGCTAAGTGATCCTCCGGGCCTGTAAAAGTGTTGTACCTGTAAGAGCATGGGACTTGGAGGGAGAAGACCCGGTTTCGAATTTCTCCTCTGTCACTAGCTGTGTAGGTTTGGCTTTAAAATCTTTAAAGTGAGGGTAATAATCCTTGCAAGATCTACTTCATAGAGTTTTCTGGAAAGGTTTAATAAACCTTAATGGTACAGAATTGTAAATTGTCATTGTTGGGGTAGTCCAGCTCAAAATGGTATAAAGAAGGGTTTCTAAAAATTGGACCCATGGGTGACTGACTACGGGGTGGTACTGACCTCAGGTCTGTAGGGGATAGGTCTACCTAAAATAAGTACCTTTGTGTTGACATGTTTGTCTATTCCTCATATGCCCTCTGTAGACTGCACCTGCTCAGCCAAAGGACATTGGAGCTGATGGTCAGTTCTTTGTTGAGCACTATGATTTCTTGGAAGAAGGCACACCCAGGATTCTGCTGAAGAAAATCCTGCAGACTGGTGAGCCACGGTCTGGGCATCCAGGTTTAAGGCCAGCACTGCTTGAGCCCTATGTCAGGAGTGGCCACACATGGATGTGTAGCCTCAGGGTGGTTCAAGCCAAGGTGTGGGCAATTGACTCTTCAGTGAAAGATGGCTGTTCTTTCTAGAGGTAGCCTGCTACTCCCCAGAGCAGAACAGCATGGGGTCAGAGGCTGCTGAGATAGAAGAGGTGGATTCCTCTTGACCCTTGCTCCCAGGACCTCCTTTTCATGCATGGGAGTCCCAGCCCCATCTTGTGCTCCCTTCCAATGGGTGTCCTTTTTGCAGCTTCAGAAGCCTCTGTCCTGGTACCAGCGCTGGTGAATTCACAGGAGCCAGAACCTGTTGAGTTACAGGAGGAAAGCAAGTGGAACAGGTCTGAGGCATTTTGAGGATTAAAAGCTTCTAAGGCAGTCCCGGGACCAAGGACACGTGGCTGAAAGTTGGCCTGATTTCCTTTCAGCCTGGAGTTGCAGCTTCCTGAGCTGGAGCCCTCTGTGACTGTAGCTCCAGGGCTACTGGTCCACAGCAGGAAGAAACGTTGCCTTAGAGTGTCTGAGTTTGAACAGGAAGTGGACCAAGGACTGGCTGTTGCTTCAGGTGAGGTATCCAGGGTCCTGACCCCTTTATTGGGACTCTTGTGGGGCCTGCCCACTGCTGACTGCTCTCCTGGACTTTAAGAACACCTGGAACTGCCTGAGCAGTAGGTTTGAGGTGGTGTGGGGAGAAGAAGTCCCCAGGGATCCAATTGTGCCTCTTTCCCCCATCTCCCTGCACTAATAATCAGGATCTCTTCTGTGTTTTTCTTGGTTTTGGACAAAAGATCTCACTGGAAGGCAGCCAGCTTCAGCCAGCAAGTCCTCTGTGACCAGGTGCCTAAGAAAATATTTACATTACCATGACAGGGGGGTGGACAGAACCCAGAGACTGGAAAAGGGACAGATTATAGAAGGTAGCGGGAAGCCATCCAGTGGCTACTGGAAGAGAAATCTTTCCAAGGAAATAGCCCATGGTAGGGGAAAGTGCTAGCTCATAGCTTTGGGGGATGGATGTCTGATTCAGCAGGGACTCACAGCAGGCCTCCCTTCTTTCAGGTCCTTCAACCTGACCTTGGCCACAGTTAGGCCCCCTGAGTCTGTAGAGAGGCCTGGCTTGGCCCGAAGGCCCCCAAACCGTAAGGCGATTGACGTAGAAGCATTTGAACAAAGACTGAAGGACATCCCACTGACTCCTCTCCCAGGTAAGGCCACCTAGCCCTGGGCTCTGTGAGGAGAGGGTCTAGACTTCATCACAAAAATCCCAAGTATCCTGCCTTCTTTTCTCTTTCCCTCCCACCCTCACCAACTGGGTCTGGCTTACATGGCGTTCCAGGATCCCCACTGTTTTCCTTTTGAAGTCTATTTTGATTTTCCCGAGCCATATAATTGATGTGAGAAGGAAGTGACTGAAGAGTTGGCTGTTCTTACCTCCCTTTTGGAAATTCCTATGAACAGCAGGAAAGGAGGCTTTGCAACAGTAATGAGTTTGAAGATTGCCAGTTAAGAGTTAAAGATAAAGCAAGTTAGGCAGTGTCCAGTGCATTGCTTATTCAAACAGTAGGACAGCTTCAAAGTTCCCTGCCCACCATAGTAGGCAGCGTCTCTGAGACACGAAGAAGGCAGCCTTGGCCCTCCTTCACTGCCAATTGTAGCTTGATCCCTGGGTAGAGAAGGAGCCCCCTCCTATGTGCTAACATTATGGCAGAGGTCACCCAGCCTTTCCCTTAGCCCTGACTGTGCAGGGTAGCTGAGAGAGCGGGCTGCCAGCTGATGAGGAGCAGAGAAGCTGAGGGACGAAGTGTCTGGTATGAAGAGCCTCTGCGCCCTTGGGGCTCTTCCCTAAGAGATGGTTGAGTAGGGCTGACTGGAATTTGTGGCATTAGGTTTTCAGTGTGGTTAGCCAGCCCTAAGGGTGAGCTCCTGGGTCGGAAACCTTACTTCAGGTCAGGAGCTCAGCCTTCTGATGATCATCTGCTTTCCCTTTCTTTCCTTCATGTCTAGACTGTCGCACTTATCACAGTGCCACTCCTGTAGATGAGGATAGGCCCTTCCAGGCGAGTCCTGACTCCAGAGGCATCAGGAGAAGCTTGGCAAAGGGCCAGGAACTGAAGGCTGTGACCCAGAAGGCTAATCAAAGAATGGAGAAGGGTACAGGGGTCAGGGTAGGGCAGAGGGCTGTCATAGTCAGAGTTAGTCCACGTGCTTGGTGTTATGGGTAGCAAATTGGTGCTTTCTAGACATCCTAGGATTCGATGGTGCTGGGTGTTACCCTTAATCATTGTGTGACCACATGCTTTTCCAGTCCAGGGAGCTGGTTGGGGATTAGAGGTGGGATAGGCCCTGAGGATCAGGGTTATAGAAAACTCATCAATCTCTTTTATTTTCTTCTTTGTTACCTAGGTCCTAGGAAACCAACTAAATCTGGTACAAGAAGTCCAAGTCAAAATACTCCCCTCTCTACCATCTCCATGTCTACTGGAACAAGAAGCAGACCTTGGACAGGAACACCAAGTCAAAACAGCTGCTTTTCTGCTCACTCTTTATCTGCTAGAAGCAGCATCTCCAGGGAAGCCAGAGCAAAGTCAGGTGTAGCTCATCAAGTAGAGGAAGAAGAGGAGAGGTTGATGGATGATGAGGCAAAAGAGTCTGAAGAGGACACAGAAATCCCCCAAAGCACTGGTAATATCAGGGTCCAGCCAAGACCAGGGGTAAC